GGGGTGTTCCTTACCAAGTTGATGTGAATCATGATGCTCTAAAAGGTTGGGGGAAAAAATGAAAAGAAAAGATTGGCAGAACAATTATTATAGACCACATTTTCTTGGTCTAAAATTAAGACAGTTAAGTTGGACGATATTAAATTGTAGGCCTACAACAAGCTAAAGTTAACACAGACTGCTAGAAGCTTGATTAGAACAGGTTCTATTTAATGAGTGTACATGTGCATTTTGGTTGACGTCAGTTAGGGGGGGGGGGATCCTGGAAAAGATGACAGAAGATGAGAAGGGTGGAGGAGGGTGTCATTTTTTGGCCAAATATTAGCTGATGCCATTTGTGAATGGTCCCTAAGGAAGCAAGCGCATTTGGGTTATCTTATGAAGTAAGTCGCTGGTTAGATTGGTTAGTTCAAAACTTCTGAACGCCTGTCCACATATCATATTACTCCTCAACTCACTTGTCTTTTCTCTGAGTGACTTTTGTTCTGTTCTTCACTAGAATCAAGTCATTATACGGTGTACAGAACAAAAAACAGAATTATTTTTTCATGATTTCGTTCTGTTTTATTTTTTTTGTTTGTTTTAGATTAACTTTCCTTTTTTTTTAAAGCGTGTGAAATGTTTGACAATATGCCAAGACCACTGCATGCAATGTGTAGAGAAGTGTGAAAACAGCTGTGCAATCTTTTCATTTAGTTCCTTAACCGGGTAGTTCATCCATCTTTTTTTCTTTTATACAAGGGAATCAAGGATTTGTATTACTTCTTGATTCTGATGTCAGCATTGGTAAATAGATGACTTTTGAACTACTTCATCTGTATGTGTAATCTCGACCAGTGGTAATTCTGTTTCTCAAATGGTTGTATTGAATGTATCATCCACTTTCTCTGGTCAGTGAGATGGAAATGTTTCGAATATTGTCACTGTGGATATCCTTGACTTGCCTTATTATGTTACGCCGCCCTGGCTCCTTCTCAGTTTGGTTAGACCTTTCAGTCTTCATATGATAAAGGTTCCCCATTGTTGTTATTTTGCAACTTCAGACTCGTGATGATCCAGTTTGTGTTACCGATGTGTTACTGTTCTCATGTGTTACTGATGTGTTACTGGTGTGTTACTGAAGTATGTACTGTGGGCGTAGGCGACATATGGCAGCATGATTAGACCATCTGGACTGTTGGACTTTTGGTGTAGTTTAAGTTTAAAAAAAAAGCATATTGGCAAGGTAACAGCTGTTTTGTATTACTTAAAATAACAAGACAGACTGGCTATAAAAACAAAGGGAAAGAAACGAAGTAGGACTCAACTTGTGGCGCTATCCAACCTTTTACTGTCTGGGGCTTCCCTTCTTTAGGTTATTTATAGGGAATTTATCCACAGGAAAAAGACACTTAGTTGAAATAAAGAACCTTTTATGTTTCGTTTAGAAAACAGAAGCTCACTGGCGAAATACCAGTATTTTGTACCGTGAAAGAATAAAACAGATAGACACCAGAGGGAAAGAAACAAAAAGTGGCCTACAAGTGGCCCTCTCCAGCCACTCGTGAAAAGATTCTTGAAAGGAGGGAGTCCGTTGTGTAGAAGTTATCACACAAAGTTTTGGCGTTCACTTCCTGATACTGGCGTCTGTGCTGTGACTCGTCATTAGGCGTTTCACTGTCGCACGCAGGAGACCCGAGGATCCGAGTTCGATTAACGACGAGTGCAGAGAATTTTTATTGAGTATCTCGGTCTTTATCCTTGGATGATGTATCCCTCGCAGCCCGGGTTGGCTCTGACATGCAAGGCCAATTTATTAAAATAATCTAAATTGTGTCGATGGGGTTGTAAAAACACCTACATAAAAAAACCCCAACCCAAAACTTTCTAATAAAGTGAAACTTTTGCCTTTTGGGTATACAGCAATGTGCATTTTATATCTGGCCGGTTTATGGGGTTGACGACATAATGTTAGTTTTTGTCTTTAGAAAACAAAACAAAACAACCACAACAACCAACACAAATGCAATGCGTTTGTGTGCAGGCAACCCGTCAGCTCTGTTGAGCTCTATTTGAACAGAGGTTCCAATTGGCTACTACATATATGTGTTTTCACACAAATCTGTGCACACCCACTCCATTTTCCTCACCTTTCGATGTTTTTTTAAAAAAGTCGTTCAGTAACATTTGATTATACCTACAGTGAAGTTAAAGAATTTTTGCAAGGGCTGAAGTAAATTTTTTTTGGAGAAAAGTAAACTTGGTCCCCACTTTTAGCTTATACGACCGACCAAGTACGCTCATCCGGGGTCTCCACTCTCTGAGGTGTCA